CTTTTGTCCATTGTCTTCAGTTGGTTTCTTTACATGTCTGGATGCTTGTCACTGTTTCCATTTTACAAAACCAAGAGGGAGTTTTTTATTTTCTATATGTTTTGCTTTAAGGATCTTAATCTTCCTTCCATATTGTTTGAATGGCTCTTGAAGCTATTGCAATCCTTTTTTTCCTATCTCATGTTTCTTTCAGGTTTAAACAGAAAACAGCTATAAGGAAAAGGGAGAGGGAGCAGCAGGCTTATGCAGGTTGAGCTGCACTGCAGTTCCCAACAAAGCCTTTCCAAATAACTTTTTTCTGCTTCTGAGTTTGCGGTTGCTCAGGGTTGCCTGCCAACAAAGAAAATGACATTTTGCAGGTGGAATATTGCCAGAACTGTGACACTATAGAAAAAATCAAATAAATATTTTTCTCAGCTTAAATTTCACCTTACGGAATTGGAGGATAGAGGTTTGTGATCTAATTGTGTCATGGAAGCCTGCCAAGGAAGACAGTCTTATTGCATTTTTACAAAACAATTCTAACAATACGGCAACCTTTGCTGGGTACAGTACACAGGAGTCTGTGCACAATTCAGGTGTACAGAGCAACAAAACTCATAACTTTCTTTTTACACTACTAATGCAGCATGACGAGCCTTCAATACTGTTTTTCAATGATCATTAAACTCTTACTGTGGAATAACTTTTTGTAGTGTGGCGTAATCCCTACTCTAGCCAAAATGAAGATCATGCTGAGTGGCCAATCCATCCTGTTCAACAGAACATGAGGATTCTGAAGTTTCATTTAACTCTGGAATTAATTCTGCTCCTGCTCATCAATAAAGACGAGTGAGTTAGCTTCATAGGTGGCAATGCCCAAGCCAGGTCAGGCTTCTTGTTGCCCATGTTCAATGTTCAAATCTTCGTTTATTTTGGTTTCTTCTGTCCCTAAAACATTTCCAAATCTCTCTTTATGAGTCTTCCTAATCAAATTAATTTAAGAAGTAATTAAATGGCCTGGGATTGCATCACTGTCTCTGGAATTGGCTCAGTTGCCTTAATTGATAATGTAACTCATGACAGAAGAAGCAGAATAAATCAGAATAAATTCTGAAGCTTACTGAAATAACTTACATGCTAATGTGGAAGAAAATGCATCCATACAATTTTGTCAGCTCTTCATCGTGCACCATGGCAATCACCCAAAACATATGGCCACTGTAATCAACCGGTTTATCGGGAGAAAACACCCAAAATATCTTAGATTGCTCAAGTACTGTATGTCTCCAGATTTAAATCCAATTGAGCATGTACAGGTATCATACATAGTGAAGAAACAAGTGAAGTCATTACACCCCATGAATAAGCAAGAAATCAAACTGGCTGCAGCAAAGCATCTCAAATAACAGCATAAAGTACAACAACAAACTTTTTGTAGTTATTTGAGATACAGATTGTTGACTTCATGGATGTATTGACTCAATGACTGGAATGCTACTGGAGGAAAAGACAGATGTAATCAGTCCAAATTGTGATTCTACATTCCACCGGATTAATTTAGGGTATATTAGTAGCCAGGTGTGCTTAGACAGGAGGTCGCAGGGAGAATGTGGCAGAACTGTAGTGAACATACTGTAGATAGCACAGAAGTAATTAAATGACTCCTGTGTTATTCCATCAGCAGATCAGCAGGTAGTCCCAGTATTTAAGAAGGTTTACAACATTTAGAAGGATTAGTTTTATTTGTGATAGAAGGATCCAGAGGAACATCTAACTCATTTGCTAAGAGTGTATTTCTTACATTTTGTTTTAAAGCTCCTGGGTCTCTAAGGGTAAGTTGATTAGTGTAGTTTTGTCAGAATCTGGGTGTAAAAGGGCTAAGTTAAGTAATGTACCAGAAGGTCTCTGAGAAGACAAGCAATCTGGATCTTCCAAAGAAGGGAAGCCTGACTGTAAAGGGCAAAGCCAGGTTATGTGTATTAGGGATATTGACATGTATTTTTGTAATGGAGAGTTCTTTTTGGAGCCTTAAATGTGAGCAATGTGTTCCATCTTCTCCTGGCATTCTTCTGAAGATTGGGACAATAGGAAGAGGAGCAGGAGTAACTGTGCAAATGGAACCTCTGAGGAGGCTGCTCTGTGGACGATGGTTCCCAATTATCCATGTCAAGTATTCATTTAGGGTGCCAACCTACTCATTTGTTTGAAAATAAGATTGTTTTTTGGCTGCGTGTTATTCACATGTCTTAAAATGTGAGGTCTGACTGCAATGCTGAGCCCTCAAAGGCTCCTACTCCAGGAGGCAGGACTTTGTTTTTTGTGAGGCAAACTAAAACCAGAAAACCTATTTTATGAGGTTTAATGGAGATTGAAAACCTCTTAAATTACAATTGTTTCTATTCATTTATATGGTTAAATTGTTTTGCCTGTTTGATCTGTGTCATGGGCAATGCAATGGATGCCTCTCAGTGCTGGGGTCCCAAGTTCAATGCCTAGGGTGCTATTCGTAATGCATTTGATGTTCTCCTCATGTTTACATGGGCTTCTTCCAGGGCTTCAGTTTCCTCAGACATTGCAAAGCCATACTGGTAGGTTAATTGGCCCTGATGTAATTGTGTGCGTGTTTGTATCAATGTGTACCCTATGATGAATTGGCATCATGACAAGGATGTATCCAGTCATGCTCTGCTTGCTTGCTCCATACATCCCTCTACTGGAGGCTGGAAAATGGACGGATGAATCATGGATCATGAACATAATTTCTTATGTTCATGAGCCTTTTTTATTGTAGTTTGTTGTTGGTTTTGTTCTATTTATAACAATTGGTTAAAACTAATTAATTTATTCTGCTATGGCTGCATGCAAATAATGTATACTTGTTTTCTCCACTAATTTGTCACTGTTTATTTCATTCTAAGCAGTTGATAAGGGATATGTAAACTAATAAAATATTTGAAACATTTTTTTCTGTTTTTTCAGTTTTTTACCAGGTAAATCATTTGAAAACAAATTCTCATTGATCCCCTGGAGGCCCATATATATAGCATAACATTTAATGGAGCAGTGCTGGAATTCGGGCCCACAACTCCCTGTCCAGAGCTTTAACTATTATTCCACAGTGCTATATTTTATAATACCTTACTCCCGTTAATTAGGTAATGTTACAGACAATACAGACAGTCACTGTCACCATAGCTTTAAGACAGTTGTTGAACTCTCATTATAGGTTTTCTACAGCAACATCAAACTGCTCTTTTGAACACAAAATGTGTTATTTCATCTCCATATATATTTTATGTGAGCCTTCTTATGATGGGCTTTAAAGTAGGGAAGGAAAACTGAAAGTCTGAAAAATACTAGAGCCTAATCCATGCTTTTAACTGCATTTGCAAGGATAGAACAAAAATACATAACTGAAATTCAGCAGATCATTTTAGAAGACTTTCTAAAATACAAGACTAATAGTAATGTCGTTTATTTAATCACAATACAAGACTTGCATATGGGTAAACATATGGTATGGTAACGCATGGGTGTCAAATGGCCTAATTTATTTTTGCAGCAATTTGTAATCATGTTTTTTTCTTCAGCAGTTTATGCTATGTCTATAAAAATATAATATAGATAAAAAAGTGTTTTAAGTCTATGTATTATGCTTAATCCCCTTGTTCTGAACTTGAAAATAATTTAAAATTATATTTGCACAGTAGCATTAACAGGTAATGAACCATTCAAAATTTACTTTGTTTTCATTTACTGATCATTTTACGGTCTACATAAGGAAACAAGGAAAATCTGAGGTGTTCAAATGCTGATTTACAGTATTTGTTCCTTTATTTAATTTTTTAAAATATTTATACAAGTTATATTTCAGTTAGCAGGTTTATTATTTTAGTCATGTCATAAAAACCCACATAATAACATGGTGTTTTGATTAAGGATCATAGCTGCTAGGTCATTAAAAGTCGATAAAAGTTCTCTAAACAAGATATTTTAAATTCTAACATCCCTATCTCAGTAGGAAATGAGTCCTACTAGTCTGGTAGACTATTTTTCAAATTGAGCCTTACCTAAATACACACAATATGATTGTGGCAGCACTGAGGGATATTAAAGACACACTGTAACCAATAGTGTAGCCAATCTTCACACTTCCAAAAAAGGTGGTCTGAAAGACAAGAAAAACAAGAATAGTTTTTTTCACTTTTTTCAATGTTAAAAAACAATTGTTTTATGCAATTTACATCTCAAATACTGCACCTATATACAAACTATGTGTGTGCTGTCTGGTAAGAATATTTTCAAAATATTTTACATTCTGCTAAGAAAGCAACAAACGTATCTTGTGAAAAGCTGGTGAAAAGGAAGAGTAGTGTTCTCTTTGTACAATAGATTAAAAAAAAGGTCTGTTTCCTTGGCATTAAATAAACTTTTCAAAATATTTTCTTTTTCTACTAAAAAAAAGATGGTAGGATGCAAAGCAAAGTAAGTAATAAATAGCAATGAAAAGCCCATTGTGTACTGTACATCACCCCTTTCACCTGTGGTAACAGGAACTTTTCAGCTGCAGGAAATATAGTTTATATTCATGATATGGTATATGACCCAAAACTAAAACTGAGCTGCAACATCCAATAATATTTAGATGGTATCCAGCCACACAACATCAAATTCCTTTTAAATACTCCTACTAACACATTCCCATCTGAATCCCCCACCTGCATGTTAATCAGGAACCCTATGTGAGTTCTACGTGAAAGCAAAAACTGGAAAAAGCTTTTACCGCCTTTTAAAATAGGTTCATTGTTCAGTGAATTGCAACATGAACTATGTGAATAATATTTACTTTACAAGAGAAACTAAACACATTTGTCACAGATTATTTATTTTATTTAAACTTTTCAGTGCTTATCTTTCATTATGTGACAACTGGAATAATATTTAAACTAAGAATGTTGGGGAAAATGATTAATTTAGATGCAAAATGAACTTGCTTTGACAGTTTAACAAAGAGGAGAGCCAATTGGTAATCACAGCACACACCTCCTTGTGACAGTTGCCCTAATGTGTACAGGAAAATGCTTTGGTCAGAATTTAGAAGCTTCTTGAATAAAAAAGCTGAAAAGCATCTGTAAATCTTTGTTTCAATAAAATATGTAATTTCTTTAATCCTGACATTTCCTCATTTAAGAAAGAAAAAATCAATTTTAAGAAACTATATTTTCCAATAGTTGAACAAAAGTTGTAAAACCCATACAAAATAAATAATAAATACATTTCTACACAGCTACAAATAAAAGGAGTGAATTAATATATTATTAATATAGACATACACACTAAAATGTTGAACCATAATTTGGAGTTTTACAAACCTCTTCCAAACCGGTGCTGTTGGCATCATACCTACAAGCCACAACATAGGAGACAGGATTCATATCTGTCCAGCCTTCTGAAGTACAGGTTCTTGTCACATTACCTGAGTAAATAATAAAAATATAACCAATAACAATCAATAACAGATGCCCATTTTTAAGTTACATAAATTATATAATCCAGTTGCCAATGCCTCATAAATAAAACAAATGTAAAATATAACTAACATTACAGTTAACCCGCATGCAGTTGTAAGATGAAGGAGCTACAATTATTACAATGTTTTATTCTATGAGCACACTTAAATGGAGTTAATGCCAGTGATTTTATGGTAAATTATACAAAACATGAAAATTTACTATATAGCCAATAAAAGCACAGGAAAAACTTAACAAAGCCTTAGGGCAAAATTACTTGTGTCGATTTATTCTAAACTTTCACAATGGTAGTTTCAACAAAACAAAATCTCAGTGTTGCTCTAATTTAAACTCAATGTGATATCCTAAAATACTTCCCATCTTAAAGACTTACATCTTGACCATTTTCTATAAGGTTTCGCAATACATATATTGACTAATCCTAATTATAAAATTAGAACTTTATGGTCAATCCCTGAGACAGAAACCCTTTAGAATATGAAATTGATGTGACATGCCCACCTTCCCATACAAGTCCCTCTTTTATCCTACACAAGGCACCATGAATGTTTTTCCCAGCTTTGTTTAGTCTCATTGGAAGACAAATTGTTATTCCAAAATGACAGGAGGATACTCTGGGCAAGATGTGGCTTATGTACTCCTTATTATTCAATTTTTAAAACTTTTTAAAATGGATTAAATAAACTTCCTTATGTAGTTTTGTATGTTAGCCTTCTGTGAAATGGTGTCTTACAGAAAAGTGGCACTGACCTAAGTACGAATGACAAAAAGAGCGCAGCCAAATGAAGTGACTGCTAAACATGTACAATCTGTCACTAACCAAAAAACAAACATTTCAATTATGCTGTAAACAGAAAAATGAAAAATGAAATATCAAACTAAATTAGGTTAAATTAAGATATTTATGGTGTAGCTCCAGTTTCCAACATAAATCACTAATGTATCTTAATCCAACCTCCTATATATACAGAAACTGTAACAACACTTTGAGTCATCATGATAATAATAGAACAAATTAGGTGTAGTCCAGCCATGGACACCATAAAAATACTCTCACATTTATGGACCTAATGAGCAAATATTTAACTTTACCTAAGACCTCAGCCTACATGAACAACTACTGTACATAATAGTGTGGCATGCAGCATTATCAAATATTAAAGACATATTCACCTTGGAGACACAAACAGAACTTGAAAACCTTCTATTAATGAAAATGCTGTTTTAAGTACGAAGCCTAGAGATCTCTAATAAATTATCTTCTTACAAGTATTAAAGACATTCAGTGTGGACAACTGTTTCCTTATTTGTAATTTCTTAAATTAATGTCCTCTTTGTTTGCATAATTGTATTCCAATAAATCTGATACAGTGAGAGCGAATGTAAGAGAGTTGTTGGAAGGGTGGGGATTTTAGTCAGGCATGTTTAACCTTAAGCCAGTTTCATTCCAACTCTGAAATCCCAAAACAAATAAATCATAACTGTCGTTGATAGGAAACAGGGAATACACTTTGCTGAATTAGTTTAAACTGAAAGAATTGTTCTTGGTTTGTCTGTACTTCTATGTGTTCTGTATCAACAATGCTAAAATCAGTGAGTAAGAGAGACAAGCTTGGTGCAGAGAATCCTGTGAAATTTTGAGCAAACATGACTGAATCCAGCGATTCCATAATCACTTAGAACACCTGCACACTGTGTGGTGTGCTATATACCACTGAGAGACCACAGGAGACACCTCACTATAAATGGCAAATATGCATAGAAAACACAATTCCAGTCAGTATACTAATAAGGAAGATTACAGTTGGCAAGCAATCGGAAACCTAAAAGGCATCAATCAATGTAAAAAAAAAATACAGCTGTGACTAAACATCAGAATCAAAATGCATTGATTGAAATTGATGTGGACAAATTAGATATTGTCACAATCTTTTTGAGATATCTTCTTCTGCACATTTGTCTATCAAATGGTGATTCAAGAACAGCCAGATCATATCAATAGTTGACTTTAAAGATACAGTGTTCTCGATGCCAAATACAGTAAATTGGTGTGAAACTGTACTTTTATATTCTATTCCCCATTCCTCTAGTACAGCAAGGACACAATTATTTAATAAACATAATATTATTAAATAATAACAATAGTAATTTCTTAAACTTAGTATATTGTGCTTTTCTGGACACTCCACTCAAAGCGCTTTACAGGTAAAAGAGACCCCCTCCACCACCACCAATGTGCAGCATCCACCTGGATGATGCGATGGCAGTCATAGTGCACCAGAACGCTCACCACACAGTGGGGGGGGAGAGCAGAGTAATGAAGCCAATTTATAAATGGGGATTATTAGGAGGCCATGATTGGTAAAGGCCAATGGGAGATTTGGCAAGGATGTTGGGGTATCACCCCTACTCTTTTCAAGAAATACCCTGGGAGTTTAATGACCTCAGAGAGTCAGTACCTTGGTTTTATGTTTTATCCACAGGCCAGCACCTTTTTACAGTTTAGTGTCCCTGTCACTATACTGGAGTATTAGGACCCACACAGTCCGCATGGTGAGTGCCCTCTACAGGCCCTTCTAATACCTCTTCTAGCAGCAACTCTCATCTCATTGCTCGGTATTGGTAGCTCCTTAGGAACTCCTTGCCTTGCACTTTCTAGTCTTACTAATGGCCTTGAATTCGGAACCTGTCCTCGACTTTGTTTCTTGTCTAGCGATTTGGCTTTGGTAGTACCGATTACTTTCCCAGCTGACATTTTTTCTGACCTGCATCCAGAACGGTCCATTAACTGCATCAGCACTGCGTGCCTTTACAGTGTCCTAAAGTACATACTGGGTTGATTTCATAATTCACATACATTTCTGTCATAAGCATATACAGAAAAAAATCATCAAACAAGAACAGGTCACCTACAGTAATTACTGTAAGTCTTATACAAACATTATTGTTTTTCAGATCTTTACGTCAAAATAAAACTGTTCACCAGAGTAATGTCTTTTCATGCATGTACAGTAGAAAGCCAGGGGTTCTTTATTTATTTTTCCAGTTATAATCCTTTTATGTTGAGCTTTTGTATATTTTCTTCAAATATCCTTTACTTCCATCTTACCACACCCATACACAGTATTTGTTCACATTAGAACTTCTTCTGAATGTATTCAGTCTAAAAGCTGTATTAACTTACACAGAACAGTCTTTGATTAATCCCTGCTATGGAAAACTATTTTCTCACACCTAATTCTATAATCCTTTCATTGGCATGCAGAAATGTTTAAAATCTAGTGCTGAAATATTTTTTTTCTATGTTTGAGATTTGTTTGGGGTGAGATATTTTGTATTTACTATTCTGGAAATGTTTAATTTTCCACACATTTTGCTACAAAAGGTAAAAAATTACAGGAACTATAGTACAGGAAAAACTACAGGAAAAAATATTCAATTTCGAAGATCTGCCATAAATTGTGCTTTCAAGAAAATCAAAGCACAAAAATGCATGCATAGAAATTAGATTTCTTCCCTCAGGTTTGATTGAAACCTGTCTCAAAATAGAATTTCCATGAAAGGTCAAAGACATTATTCAAAATCGGATGGATTTTTAACATTTTCCATAAAACAACAAAAACAGTATTTTATATTTTTTCTAGCTCACCAGAGACAGCACTGATCATTATTTTTTTCGTCAACCTTTCCCCCGCTACTTTATTACTTTGAAAACTTATAGGGAGAAAAAAATAAAGTAGAAATGTTTACAATTTCCAGAATTTCAGTGTAATTGACTGTATTTTGCTTCTTTTTC